TTTTTTATTTTATTTCAAATATAATAATAAAGAAATCTTTGAAAAGGTATTTATCGAGCATTATCAATCGTAAATAGTTATCATGAATCAAGGCTACAAAAACGCGCAAAACGATGTACTCTAATTCCTCATTTGTTTTATCGAATAAATTATAGAGTTATAATGATGAAAATTAGAACATCATGAACTTGCAAGTGAATAACTTCAATAATCAGGAGCATCAAAGGAAGAACTAGCAGAACTCAATGTAGCAAAAGAACATTACCACCACTGATGGAGCAGATTCGCAGGTCAATCAGTACACTAACAGATCAAATACAGCCAAAGGCACTGGCAGGAACAATAAAGAGAAAGAATCTTTGTACCAGACACCTGATTAAGATGGCAACCTAAGAGCATACAATGAAATAGATGACTCTACTGCAGAAGATTAAAGATCAGGCATCAAGTAGTCCAAAAAGAAGAACAAGCAGAGTTTCAATAAGAATTTCATGGAGATGAACAAGCAGGTCAAAACATGTAAGAAAGTTCTTTTGAATAATATTAATTTAATAGTGAAAGAGATTTATTCAGAAAATTCTCAGAAAAAGAAAGAAAGAATGTCTGAGGTAATGTAGAGAAAGAGTCAGAATTCCTGGATGGGAGTGAGTATGATGCTTACTAGAAAAGAAAGTCCATCAAGAGCATCAGACTGGAACAGTATGCAACTCAAGCAGAAACTCATGGAGCAATAACCGTAAGCATCCAATTACTAAAATGTTTTAATGATAGATCTCAAACAGGTGCTAAAAACTAAAGCAATACATTCATAATTGATCATGAAACAGCAGCTAATAATGTAGAAGCCAAATAGATGAATGCTTTTTCAACTAATCCAAAGGAGAAAGCTTGGTTCAAGACAAATGCATCTGAAATCATGCAACTTAGCAGTGTGAAGACTCTCGATGTACCCAAGGGTGAAGAATCAGCAGTGCTTCCCTGCAAGAAAAACGGAGTGCAGGACAAGCATAACCTTAACTACAGCAAGGCTTATGAGAATTCTAATTATGTGAAGGAAGGTGATATCCCTGATTAATACAAATCTCACAGAGAAGTCAAGCCTGTTGTTCACAATATTAACAATCACCAAGTCCAAAGTCAAAGACTTAAGAACCTCTCTTCAAATGTGTTTTGAGGTTAAGGAAAGAATATTAAGGTGAATTCAAGGTAGTGAGTAAGTAAGTAAGTATTTCAATTGAAGTAAAAGTAATCATTAATTGCTAAATTCCAATGATTCATCACAACACATCATTCAGGGGTTTTGGGGTTTTGGGGTTTTGGGGTTTTGGGG